TTAAGGTAAGCCTCACCCCAGTGTATCTATAATTCAAAAACTGCCTATTTTTCTGACATTTGTATTAATTCATTAATAACCCAATAACATTTACTGAACACGAAAGACACAACAAGTAAAACAGACATGTTTCCTACCCTCTTGGAGCATGTAGTCTGGTGGGAAAGACAAACATCAATAAAATAATTAGATCAACAAGTTTAAATTGCAAATGAGAAAGAATTATGAAGTTACATGCTGCTATGAGCACTTGTAACAGGGAAATGTGGTATAGGCAGGGATGCTGCCTTAGGGCAGTGATAACAGCTCAGAATTAGGAATTACTATGTGAAGAGGGCAGAGGATAGGGAAGCATACTGTAGGCAGAGGAACTGCAAGTGCATGGATAGGCATGAAGGAATGTAGTAAGAGGGAGTGAAAGGCCATCATGACTAGAGTAAAGACGACAAATATAATGCTAGATGTTGCAGAGGTGGTAGATGGGAGTCAAACGCTGCAAAACCATGTAGGTCTATTTGGAGTTTGCTTTATTCCCAAAGCAACCTCAACTAAAAGGTTTTAAGCTGGGCAGGAAGCATAAGATTTGCTTTTTGAAGATATCACTTTAACTTTAGTGCAGAGAAATGATTAAAAGGAAGCAAGAGATGATGCAAGCTGAGCAATTAGGAGGCTTGAAAAATTGAGAGTAGTATGAATTAGGATAGAGAGGTAGAGACAGAAGACAATAAAATCACATTACTTTAAAAAACCATGACTGAAATCACTTAACAGTTATTCCTATATTTATCCTATTTACTAAGATTTAGATTTTTATAGGTAAAATATAAAATAATCAAATATTTACAATGAATCTTTCACTATTTTAGCTTACCTTTGATTACTCTGAGAAAAGTTATTTAACCACTAGATGGCAGCAAAGAAAATAACTTCTATTTTAAATGATCCTTTTCTGCTTGCTAAATTTTAAACGTGGAAAACAGCACTTTTTGCTTAAATTGTTGTTCCTTGACAATAAAATATTTAACACAGAAGGCACTGGTGACTTTGATGTATTCTCTGATTCCGAATTATAGCTATGCAAACAGAGTGGTGCTAATATATGACATGCATGATGAAACACCACAAGTAACCTGGGCTACATAACAAAGAAATGAGGGGAAAAAGTTATTTCATTCCTTTTATAAAGTCTTAATGATAGATTTTAGGACTTTTTCCACACCAAAGTTCTAACAATTTATTCTATTAGACTCCCAAATTTGGATGGGCTTTTTTTTCAAAGAGTTCAAAACAACATAGGCCTTTTGGGGGGGGGGGGGGTCACTAATCCTTTTGGGAATTCTGTCTCTCTCTCATCTCTTTTCTCTACAGAAAAAAAATTTACATAAATACTTTTTTAAATTCAGAGGACTCAAAGAACTCTTGAAACTATGGACATCAAGTTATGAACTCCTATAGTATAGTAATTTGAAAAATATACCATCAAAATTAAAAGTACCCTTAGCACTTAAAAAGCCTGTTGCTGAACAAAGCAATAGGAAATCGTTCTGTATGCTGCTCTCCAAGGACTGAAGAAATTTCACAGAGGTTAAATATGTTATCCTATGAGCTTCACAATATATTTCTGTTATGTTTGGGGCATTAATAATATTAATGTTAATGTTAACTGTATTTTATTAATAGTAATAATATATAACATTTATTTAGTGCTCATTATGCATTTATTTTGCATTGTTCCTAAAAGCATGACATGTACTATCTCACTCTGCTTAACAAGCTAAGGTAGGAACTATTATTATCATCACAACATTTCAGATAAGAAAACTAAACACAGAGAGGTTAAGTCACCCAAATCACATAGCTAATATGTCTCCAGAACCAATGCTTTTCATCCTTTCATATAACTGTCACTCATTTATACTTGTTAGTTCTTAATTATCTTGTGTACTACAGTGATGCTTTCAGGAATCTAATAACCATCTGAGGCTGTCAAGAGCAGAGTTACCACAATAATTGAGCGCTAACCATACCCATTTTTTTTTTCTTTTTTTCTTTTTTTTTTGCGGTACGCGGGCCTCTCGCTGTTGTGGCCTCTCCCGTTGCAGAGCACAGGCTCAGCGGCCATAGCTCACAGGCCTAGCCGCTCCGTGGCATGTGGGATCTTCCTGGACCGGGGCACGAACCCGTGTCCCCTGCATCGGCAGGCAGACTCTCAACCACTGCGCCACCAGGGAAGCCCTAACCATACCCATTTTTAACTCCTTTTTCTCCCAATACAGTATACATAGGCAAAGCCAGTGATATTAAAAGGCTGATGACAGGAAGAAAGGGGGATGGAAAAACTCAATTTTTTGGCAATAGCAATTGGAGACTTAAGAAACCAACTGTGTAGATACAGGAAGCACTCAATTTATGGTTGCTTCATTACATCTAAACCCCATCCCAGGATTATGCCTGAATAATATATAATCTGGTAGCCGGGTATGGACAGAAGATCTTACCAAAGTATGTTAGTTTAATGATAAGAAAAATTAAGACAAAAGGTTAAGAAATCTGATCTAATTATATTAGTATTCTCTGTAAGTTCGTTTTCTTAGGGATCTCTTAGGTTTCATGTATGATCAGGAAGGTCAGTAAGTGTTCTTGAGCTAACAATCACCTTCAAGGTTTTGGCTTTTCAGCTAAACCAAACTAAGTATAATTTCAAGGCATTTTATAAAAAATACTTACACAAAGCAAGAGCTTTGGATCTGCATGAATTAGTTTCACCATGGACAAGAGAAGATACTTATAGCTTCTTGTCTCCAGGTCTGTAGGTTTTTCTTTAAATTTAAGGCTTGTTACTTTTTCTTTAAATGTAAGACTCTAAAAACAAAAACATGACATTCACCTTGTAAGAATCAGACATCAGAATCAGGATAATAGCTATTCAACTTTTTCAAGTAAATCTATTTTTAAAAAGCTTTGAAAAATAAAGGGACATATTTTACACCACCAAATGTGTAGTCTTAGTAGAAACCAATAGAAAGTACAAGATTAATATAATTAAGCTTGAAAAGCAAATAATTATTTTTGCAACATTATTCTTATATAATCTAATAAAGTTTAAGTGAAAATCTGCTAAGATACTAAAAGCTTTAATATAAGGTTGACTCCTATGTTAAAAACAATTTTTCAAATGTGAAAATATTAGAGATAAAATATTTATTCTATAGCTCTCACAGATACATACAGTAAGCAACTCATTTAACAAAACATCTCATACAGGTATACACAAATATTTCATAGAATCAATGACGTTAACAACTGTAAGATGCACCATCATTTTATGTACCACAAGGAATGAAAACTCACTGTCAACTGTAAGACATCATACAAATAAGATGAACCCCAATTTCAGAAATGTTAAATAGGTACTTCTTAGAATTGATGAAATATGCTATACAGGCAATCTCTGTATTTAACAGTTTAACTGTAAGATTTTCTTTTTCCTTTAATGGTATTCCATCTCTCTCAAGTTACAGAATGCATGTATTTTGCCTGAAGAACATTGATAAAACAGAGAAAGAATTCTTTGAGAAAAATTAAATCATGGAAAATGTGTTTCAATTACAGAGATACTATGGCAGATGCTGTGTTAATACTATTTTTATGGATGTTATTCAACCGGAAACCCAACAATTATATTCTGGATCCAATACCACCTTTCTATCTGTTCTTACAAAACATTTCCCCTTTTCCTTTAAAAGGAAACAAAAATGTATGCTTTTGACATGTATGTTTTTATATGCAAATACACAGATAGGAGAATATCCAGCATCTATGGACTCATAATAAAAATGTCCTTGTAAAAGGCTGAACTTCAAAGGTAAAAAGTAGAGATGCATATCTATAACATACAGCAATTACTGTCAATGTTTACATGTGAGAAATGCATTTGTTATTATGCCCAAGAACACTGAAGGTTTTTGCCCTCAGTGTGGAAGAAAAACTATCTAATGTACTACAGGAATGTCACTACAGAAAATAAATAGCAAAACTTACAAATACAAGTTGCTTTTGTATTTATAATCCCACAACAAACGTCTTACCAAATATATTTAATAAATCCTGTTTTTACTGTTTGCTCCCATTAAACTTCTTTTCATTCTAAGTCGAAGTAACACCGTAGATCAAGGTAAAACTTTCATTAAACAAATTTATTTATTAAAATGTCACTAAGTGTAACTGTTCTTCCATGATGCAGCCATTGCACAGGAAAACGGAGCAGAGAACAATTAGCAGATATAAAAATTATCTACTTATTAACCATTTCCAAAAAGTAAATAATAGTTTGATTATATCATACCAATCTCAGATAGCAGCATACAAATTTTGTTCCAGCATGGCTGCCTAATACAAAATGTAAAACTTGAAAAATTCTACACCGCTCACAATTATTAACTTGAAATAGACTAAAGACTTAAATGTAAGACTGGAAACCATAAAACTTCCAGAAGAAAACAGAAAAAAAAAACCTCCTTGACATGAGTCTTGGCAATGATTTTTTTGTATATGACACCTAAAGCACAAACAACAAAATAACAAGTGGGGTGTTATTTTTCAAACTAAAAAGTTTCTGCACAGGAAAACAAATGATTAACAAAATGAAAAGACAACCTAGGGAATGGAAAAAATGTGCAAATCATAAATTGATAAGTGGTTAATATCCAAGATACGTAAAGAATTCACGTATCTCAACAGCAAAATCCAAATAATCCAATTTTAAAATGGGTAAAGGACACGAATAAACATTTTTCCAAAGAAGACATACAAACAGACACATGAAAAGGTACTCAAATCACTAACCATCGGAAAATAAAGTCACAACGAGCTATCACCTCACACCTATGAGACAATGACTATCATCAAAAAGACAAAAGATAACAAATGCTGGGCCTTCCTGGTGGCGCAGTGGTTGAGAATCTGCCTGCTAATGCAGGGGACACGGGTTCGAGCCCTGGTCTGGGAAGATCCCACATGCCGCGGAGCAACTAGGCCCGTGAGCTACAACGACTGAGCCTGCACGTCTGGAGCCTGTGCTCCGCAATACGAGAGGCCGCGATAGTGAGAGGCCCGCGCACCACGATGAAGAGTGGCCCCAGCTTGCCACAACTAGAGAAAGCCCTCGCACAGAAACGAAGACCTAACACAGCTAAAATAAATATTTCTTTTAAAAAAAGAAAAGATAACAAATGCTGGTGAAGGTGTGGAGAAAAGGGAACCCTTGTGCACTACTGGTGGGATTTAACTGGTACAGCCACTGGGGAAAACAGTATGGTGGTTCCTCAAAAAATTAACAATAGAATTACCATAAGATCCAGCAATTCTACTTTTGGGTATTTGTCCAAAGAAAATAAAAACACTATGCCAAAGATACATCTGCATCCCTATGTTCACTGCAGCATTACTTACAATAGCCAAGACATGGAAACAAGTGTCATGAAACTGGTACACACACACACACACACACACACACACACACACACATAATGGATTATTATTCAACCATAAAAAAGAAGGAAATCATGCCATTTGGACAACATGAGTGGACCTGGAGGGCATTATGCTAAGTGAAATGAGTCAGACAGAGAAAGACAAATACTGTATGATCTCACTTATATGTGGTATCTTAAAAACAAAACAAAACAAAAAACAAACTCATAGAAAAAGAGCTCAGATTTCTGGTTACCAGACACAGGGAGTAGAGGTTGGGAGAATTGGATGAAATGGTCAAAATATACAAACTTTCAGTTATAAGGTAAATAAGTACTGGGGATGTACAACATGATGACTATAGTTAACACTGCTGTATGGAAAGTTGTTAAGAAAGTAGATCCTGAGTTCCCATCACAAGGAAAAAACCTTTTTTTCTTTTTTTTTCGTATGTGTATGAAATGATGGATGTTAACCTAACATATTGTGGTAATCATTTCACAGTATATGAAACTTAAGTTATTATGCAGTACATCTTAAACTCATATAGTGCTGTGGGTCAATTATATCTCAATAAAACTGGGGAAAAGACTCGAAAATTTTAAATAAATTTTTCAATTCAAATACCTTTTAATTAGTGACCATTAGTGGGTTACCTAAAGTCAAAAATAACATGCTAAAGAAGAAAGATATTTCTTGGCTAGAAATGTAAGAAAAATAAACCATCCATTAGTTTATTAATTAATCTTCCACATTGCAAATAATAGTAGGAATCCAACCTGGTATACGCACATTGGCCAAAGAGGAGAGGCAGTCAGCCCAGGAAAAAATTCATGAATCAGAGTACTCAGGTGTTTATGAAGGGCCAAAACCATCTGTTAAGTTAATTAAGGCCATGACTGAATTATAGGCATGTAATAACCATGTGCTGAGCCAGGATTCCCTTTAAGAAGGAAAATTTTCGTGCAGAATTTACACATATCATTAACAGGCTATCTTATTTTTAAAACATAAATGATTAGTGCTGAGATAAATATCTCAAGTTTTTAAAAATACTACAAAAGTACAAAATGGAGAAGCTATGGCTCAATGTTCATATGGAAAAGGCTAAAGAGTTTAAATGATTAAAAGCTTAATCTAAAATAATGCAATCTTTGACTGTATTAGTAGAAACATCATATGCAGACACAGCAGGTTAACAGTTTTCATCAATTATTATACCACATCTAGAACACTAAACTCAGACCTTAATATGTCATTTTCATTGAAAAAAAGCAATGAAGGTTCTTTCCAGAAGAGCAGCATACCAGATGGAGGAGGGTTTTGAAAGCAGGTCAAGTAAGAAATTCAACAAATATGTACTAGATGCCTACGAAATGCCAGATACTGTTCTAGGGACCAGGAACTGGGTGCTGGACAAGCCAGACAAGGCTCCTGCTTTCATCAAGCTAAAACAAGGGTAGGGGAAGACAGCTGAAGAACTGGAAAGACACTGGACTGAATGTTGACTATTTACTAACCATGTGATGATATGTCTTTCATTTAACAGTACTTGTGCCTCAGTTTCCTTAGCTGTAAAAACAGAGGAAACAAAGTGCATACCTACACACACTTTTGAAGAACCCTTAGCAGTACAGTATAACTTTATTCAAATATCTGCAGTGCTGTCTTTGTGTGTACGTGTGTGTGTGTGTGTATGGATCTTGTTTTCTTTATTTGATCTCCTGTGCCACTTCTTTTTTTTTTTTCTTAATTGGAGTATAGTTGCTTTACCATACTGTGTTAGTTTATACTGCACAGCAAAGTGAATCAGCTATACATATACATATATCCCCTCTTTTTTGGAGTTCCTTCTCATTTAGGTCACCACAGAGCACTGAGTAGAGTTCCCTGTGCTATACAGTAGGTTCTCATTAGTTACCTATTTTATACATAGTATCGATAGTGTATATATGTCAATCCCAACCTCCCACTTAATCCCATCCCCCCTGCAGTGCTGTCTTATGGAAGAATCAGAAGGGTTCTATAGAGCTCCAAAAAAAGAGAGAGGATCATGATAGCTGGGAGTGATAGGGACATGAGTTGATCTTGGTTGGAGATAAATTTTTAAATACTTGGCTCTTTACAGAAAGAAATGTATCCATATCCAAAATACAAAGTAGTTGTAAAGCCTAGAAACACATATTATTTTAACTTGACACAATGAAATCCTTGATTACTTCTGCAGCAAACTGAAAGCTAAGGTTTATCAGAGCCACAAATTATCTGAGGCAATGCAAATAATAACAACCCACTGAACATATCATGTCATACAGTGGTTCTCAACTGGGGGCAATTTTGTTCCCCAGGGAATATCTGAAAAATGTCTGTAGACATTTTTGTTTTTCATGACTGGCTGGGGGGCAAGAGATGCTATTGGTGTCTAGTCGGTAGACGCTAAAGGTGCTGTTAAACATCCCACAATGCACAGGACAGTCCCCTACAACAAAGAATTAACCATGCCAAAATGTCAGTAGTGCCAAAGTTGGGAAACCCTGATGTAAAGTATCTCTAAACCATTCATTATGTATATTTGACTGTTTCCAGACTTTATGGGCACTGTAGTTGGCTCTTCATTAGAAGTTTTCAAGCAAAACCTACAAGACTGGCATCTCTGTGACTGTTTAGCTCATCATGCTTCCCTGGCATTAACAATGTGCTTGGCAGCTAGCGGAAACTCGATACTTCCTATATTTGTTGTCAGACTGTTCACTCACCAGGCTTAAGAGAGATAAGATTCACCTTAAGGATCATCCAAATTGAAGCATTTTCTCCTAAAAAATTATTTCATAGTAGATTTGATGATTATTTTCCCTGATAAGAGTATCAGCCAGAGCTTGGATGGGAGGGGAGTTTGGGGGAGAATGGATACATGTATATGTATGGCTGAGTTGCTTTGTTGTACACCTGAAACTATCACAACATTGTCAATCAGCTATACTCCCATATAAAATAAAAAGTTAAAAAAATAAAAAAAGAGTATCAGCCAGGAAGCCGTCCCTTGGCCATTATGTACAAATACACATACATATAAAATTTCACGGACTTCCCCGGTGGCACAGTGGTTAAGGATCCGCCTGCTGGGCTTCCCTGGTGGCACAGTGGTTAAGAATCTGCCTGCCAATGCAGGGGACATAGGTTCAAGCCCTGGCCCAGGAAGATCCCACATGCCGCGGAGCAACTAAGCCCACAAGCCACAACTACTGAGCCCACGTGCCACAACTACTGAAGCCTGCGCGCCTAGAGCCCGTGCTCCACAACAGGAGAAGCCACCGCAAAGAGAAGCCCACACACTGCAACGAAAAGTAGCCCCCACTCTCCACAACTAGAGAAAGCCCGTGCATAGCAACGAAGACCCAACACAACCAATAAATAAATAAATAAATTTAATTTAATTTAATTAAAAAGTCAAAGTTCTAACTTCCCAGAGGATACTTGGAATGAATAAATAGGTCAGTAAATAATTTTTAAACAGTTTATTTTAAGTCATTTTCTAAAACTTTTTAAAAATGAATGTCAAGTTAATAACATTTAAGTAGCTTTTATGTTTATCTCCAATTAATTTATACTTGGATTGAAATTTTCATTTTTTTAAAAAATTAAATACTTGGCATTACAAAAACTAAAGATAACTTTGCATTTTATTTAATAAAACATGACTGCCATGCTCTTTTGGCTATAATTTTTTGGGCTAAATAATCCCAAAATATATAGGGTAGCAAACTTCTCTATGTGAAGATCTAAGATAAACAATCCTCAGAAACAATGGCTGACAACTGGATCAGAGTGAACTAGAACTGTATAAAACCAAAATATTTTACTGACTGAGGGAACTTGGAAAAAGAGATGTATGCCAGGAAGAAAGCTGTTTAGATTATCTTTTAAGTGTGAAGTGGCTAATTTACTATTAAAACCAATAGGTGAAAACATGCCACATGCCACATTTTCATGTGAAATGACATGACGTGACTATAATGGTAACTATACACAGAAAAGTCAAAGAAACCAAGGACTTTTCTGAGGTAGTTACAATGGTCATACATACAGCCACTGCCCACTGCCATGGAAAACAGTGACTGGTTGGCATCTGATCATGTGAGCGACAGTAGCCAAAAAGAATAGAAAATAAGAAGCAGAAGACAAAGCACTACCAATCAATGTCAAGAGTTGCCATGTATAATACTCCGGCTCTACATGAATACCAAGAAATGACTTCTACCATCTTCTAATTGTCTTTTTAAATTGGTTCTATATGAGTTTCCAAATTAAGAGTATTAATCTGTGAGAATGCTTATTTGAAAATATCTACTTTTATTAAGTTTAAACAGTCAAACTTTAATATCAAAGTGCCTATCATTTTAAGTGTTCAAAGCATGTTTAATGAAATATGAAATATTTTTATTTTAAATATAAACTTTAAATTTTATTTGTAATTTCCTGTGTGCAATATTCAGCATCCAATGGGCAAAACTATGCATTAGTAGGAACATTCACTCTAACCCAGGAGTCAGCTTCCCTTACTCACCCCCAAAAGATGAGGAGCTAATCAAACTATTTTGATTCATAAGGAAAGATTAAAGGAAAAAGAAACTAAAAAAAGAAAGAAAAAGTAACATTCATTAAGATTTTAACAGCATTTTGTTAGAAAATATCTATAAGAAAAGTAAGTTAAACTCACTGAAATAGTGGAAAACATACATCATTAACTAGTATTGCAACAATATTGCAGTATTCAACATACCACAATACTTACTGAAAAGAAAGGTCTCATGTGATTTTCTAAAAAAATCAAAACAGCAAGAATGGGATAAAGACACTGAAAACGCAATTGCAAGAAGGTGGAATTCAAAATTCATGATTCATCTTACCGGTGCCATTCGTATTGCTGGGTGCGCTCCACAACCCTGGACTGCTTTATGAAGTGTTTCACCAAACATATTTCGAAGTTCAACTGAGTGACAATATACGGCATCAATCTTAGGCCACCAATCCAATGCAGACTGGAGAAAAACAGAGACCATAAGAAAGGAAAAGTCCAAATTTGCATGAGTTATATGCTCTGGTAATCACTGTAGTTTTATGGTTTATCACTTTGTGAGAAATTTCCTAAGACCATGCAAACACACACTATGATTTCCAAAGTCTTCAAGTAATGTCTTTAATTCAAACACCAAACCATACATCTATTTTAAAATATCATAATGAACATGAAACAAATCACTCACTACATAAGCGTGAGCATTTGAGACTGGTCTTTTCTCACTGATAATCTAGTGAATCTGAAAAACAAAGTTTTTAGAGGACTAATTCTGTAGGCAATCTTTTTCTTTTTTATAAGTTTAATGTTTTACACATTTCAGAAACATATGCATATATAGTATATATTTCCCAAGGCAAGAATGCTATTATCAGTTTTAAAAGAGATTAGTGGCTCAACACAGTGTTGAAGGAATATGTGATAAACCATTACTTATATGCCTACAGACAATGATAATTACAACATGAAATTAGTAAATGAGATAAAGCTATTAGTAAACCTATAATCTTAAATTGATATGCAATGATGGCACAATACATGAGAAGACTAATGATCACCACAAAGACAAAATGATCATAGCTAAATATTTTTTAAGTAATTATTTTATGTAAATATTTTTCTACAGTTTAACCTGTTTATTTAGCTTTGATTCTAGTTTTTAGTGCCTATTTTACTTGAAAGTGTATCTTTTACTTTTACTTTTAAATGAATTAATTACTATATTATGGAAAATGACAATTATGAAAATCACTAAAACTATTAAGTTTGTCTATCAGTGAATACAAAAATGACTGGATGAATTTTCACTACATATAGAGAGTATGCAAGGAATAGGATGACTTAAAATACAGGCTTCCAATTTATAATACTCCTGCTATAAGAAATACCTGAAAGAACAATTTGAAACACTAGGTAAGGGGATGTGATAGCTTCACATCCTATTCCCAAGTTCCTTCTAATTTGAAACTAAGCTAGTTAAATTCTCAACATTTAATTTTTTTAGCCATAACTCTCAGAATATTTACAGTAGCATCAGGTTATATTACCTAAACCCCAAATTTTGGATTACAAACTCTATTTACTGGATAGTATACTATAAAACCAATTTATAAAATACAATCAATACTGAACTCCATTTATGAAAAAACTCCTATGTTATGAGGAAAGAAATACTTTTATTTGGATAGTATGATTGTTTCTATTTTTCTCTCAAACTCTTAATTTACTTCCTAACAAATGATAAAGTTTTATTAGTTTCGTTATATAATGAATTCCTTAAATGTTAGTCAATTTGGTCACCTGACTTGCACAGTGCAATCAATACACCTTGATTTCCATATATCTACTAATTTATACAGCTTGTGTTAATCAGCTTAAAGTAACAAAGACTAACTAATCACAAAATGCTTTGAGATAAGAGTCCTCCTCACTCTACTGACCCTATAATATCTTGTCAGAAACTGCTGAACTAAAGACATATGCATCCCATGTAACATCCTATCCAAACTACTATGTCATTTTGATAGCTGTTGAAATTGTATCATGGTACCAGGTATACCCTATTAAATAACTTGATTTTAACTTAAGATTTAGTTATTTTCAAAATTTCTATTTTTCATAATATATAAAATCATTCATTTTAAAGTAAAATTTAAAGATACACTTTCAAATAAAATAGGCACTAAAACCTAGACATTATGTAGTTGGTAAAAATTTTAGTTTTCCAAGCAGTTATTAAATGTGTCCTTTCTGAGACCAGTCAACTAAGGTAGACTTATTCTTTTTTGTCCTTGAAAATTCTAAGTTCATTGCTAAACAAATGGCAATACTTTCATAATATAAGCAAACCATGTGGCAATTCTTCAAGATTATTTCAATAAATTTCACATGCCTTGGAAATAATTTCTTCAACCAAACCCGCTCAATAGAATGAGATCATCTCATTCTCAATATGTGAACTATCCTTAAGTAAACTACACTAAACTGCCATAAGGAAAAAACAATACTAAGTACTATACCAGCTATAGCATGGTCCACTGATGGGAGAGATATTTGGTTCATATATGTATATATTATTTCTTTAATTGCCCAATTATAACAACATATCTAATCTAACCTAAAGGAAGCGTATAAAGATTATGCACGTAACACAGATCTTTTAACTACAATTCGTCTCTTACGGCATTCCGTAATAAAAAAGGTGACGGTACTACACGTACCATTTTAGAAACTGATAAAAGCTTAAATTATAATCAAATTCAAATAGTGACTGGATTTTCAGATTGCTTAAGAAGAAACAGTGGACTCTTTTAGAACTAAACACAGTACTTATGAACTGAACATGAGTATGTTTCACGAAAGCAAAACAAAACTGCAAACATCATTACTACTTCTATATACACTCCCAAAATCACATCAGTAAACCATTTATCTAATTTGAGAATGTGGTAATTTTAAAAAATCTGTGAGCTGGCTGAAAAAGCAAGGAAGAAGAAAACTTATGAGGTGTATTGAACCAAGAATCATTTAAAAGGAAATCTTTTTTTTTTTTTTGCGGTACGCGGGCCTCTCACCACTGTGGCCTCTCCCGACGTGGAGCACAGGCTCCGGACGCGCAGGCTCAGCAGCCATGGCCCACAGGCCCAGCCGCTCTGCGGCATGTGGGATCCTCTTGGACCGGGGCACGAACCCGCGTCCCCTGCATCAGCAGGCAGATTCTCAACCACTGTGCCACCAGGGAAGCCCAAAAGGAAATCTTATACTACAAATAAATTTAAGATTGGGAGTCCAAATATCTAAGAAAAATTTTATGTGATTTCAAGACAGAATATTTCCATAATATCTGCATTAAGTGAGATTCTATAATAGTCAATTCCATAAATTAGCATATTTACTTTATACATAGTCCTTTTCAATCAGAAATTACTTCAGATTCAATATCTCTTAGCCTCAAACCAAAGGAAAGAAAAACCCTAACAAGAAACAATTTATCAAACAATCTATTGTAATAAAGTATCATTATCTAAGGTCCAACTATAAAAGATATTTTATAGACTCAAACTTATGTTCCTTTTCAAGCTAGTCATTAAAAGGTTACTAACACTTAATAGTTTAAAAGTTAGTCAATATAGGTTTTTCTTTATAAAAATAGATTTCGTATTTATGTGGCCTCTGATACAGACACACTCCACCTTCACACATGCAGTACTCATTAGAGTACAGAAGGATGCACAACCACTTCACCATACACATTGAGGCATGCATGAAGGACCACTCCAGGCATGCTTTAAACCCACAAAGGAGCAGCTCAGCCACTTACAGCAGTGCCAAGTCCATGCTTGAAAGTGCTCTATATATTCAATTGTAGACAAAAATATTTCACAGTTAAAGTAACTAGCCACAGAGTATCAAAAAAGTATACACTTGGGTTTATTAAATACAAGCTTTAAGCATTTATGTAAACCATCCACTCTAATAAATAGAATGTTTTTAGTATTATAAACCAAAGGAGAAAAAAGTAATAATATTTTATTTCTGAATTACACATAAACATGAAGGGTAAAAATCACTGTTTTTAAATTAATGGTCTTGAAAGTAAACAAGGGTACAATGTCTTAGCTCATTACACTGGCAAAAGCAAAATAAAATTTTTTCTAAGTTTTTAATACAAACATACCTTATCTGCAATATCAGATTCATTAAACTTTCCCTTTTGCAAAAAACTGTAGTTAATGTTACTTCTACCTATAACTGATCCTCAACTGAGAGAGGAATCATTCTCTTAGGCATTTTCAGTTATTCTTACTGTCTGGGGGCAGAGATGGGAGAGGAGGGAAGTGGCAAAAAAGGTATGTAATGAAATGAGGACCAGGGATGCTAAATGTCCTACAATGCACAAGGCAGTCCTGCATTGTAAAGATTGTCCTGACCAAAAATGCTACTAGCACCCCACTGAGAAAAACTAAATGTGTCTCTACATAGTTTTATTAATAGTTATTATTCCTCTGCAGGAATGGATAAAAGAAAATGTGGCAGAATTTGATATAAGTTCAATACATCCAAGGCAAATGAAGGTGAGAAGGACATTTTTAACTCACTAGAGACACTCTTTTAAAATGAAATTTGATTATAAAGAGGACAAATACACCTAAGTTATCAATGATTAAAGTCCTTTTTAAGGGAGGAAAACAGGAAAAAGTTGAACAATTTACACTTACATGTGAATATCCAAAAATGGATAAAAGTGGAGCTATGGTAAATAACACTTGAAAACCTTCAAAATATGATCAGAAGAAGAGAATTTTTAAAATCCATGGTCCAAATCTAATACGGTTACTATCTTTCTACTTGATGTACTCACATCAGAGTCGAAGGTTTCACAAGTACCTTTTAATAAGTTTGCTTATTTTGTCTGATATGCTTTTATATCATGTAAATGCCTCTAAGTGTTAATGTTTCATTTGTTTAAGTGAAAATCTTTCATTTGCACTAAAAAGTGCAATCAAATATGGTCTCACCATTTTTTAAATATACATAATGGGCTACAACATAAATACTGCTACTTTTAAACTTAAACAGTAAGGTGACAAGTAAGAATGTACCAAATGCTGGGAAAGGGCTAAGAGTATTAAAATAATATGTGAAGAGCTTTGGGATGAAAATGTTAAATTATATTTTCAGTGGCACTGTTCTCAAGGGCTTCTGATCCAAATATCTCTTAAGTTTAATCTTTCCAAAGGATCCTATTAACTCCATCTTCCTCAATAAGGGCCCTGAGGTCAAGATTAAATATGAAAAATACAACTGTATATCAGTTATTAGATAGAATCATGTGTGAGAAATCTTCCTATATCATACATCTAAATCCAAAATCTTTTGTAAACCAAAAACGTCTTTCTTAAAAAGAAATAAAAAAAAGAGTAAAGAAAAAAAAATTTTAAGTAATTTAGCAATACCTTTTGGACTTACATTGGTGATGATTCGATGGAGTGAATTTACCAGCACATAGTGAAATGTAGAAGGGGAATTCTGAGCCAGACAGATCTACAAAGGAAAGAAAAAAAGTGATGATTACTTCTATGAGAAAAATATATAGTAATATATATGAGGACAAAAGGAACAACAAAAAGAAAGTTTTTTTAAAAATAGAATAAATTTTTAAGGTCTTGAAATTAACTTTAACATATAATAATAAGCAATACTGATAAAGGTGTAATCTATTCATTTTTCTACTCTTTTCACATTTAAAAGGATCAACAGCATCAGTAAACACAATTGGATCAAAACCTATGCTCTCACCTTAAAGTGTTGGTTGTTGTGAGGGCTTATACGAAAGCAAGAAACAAGGCAGTCAATCATTAGATCCACATCTGCAGGCTGACTGCCTCTTGAGAATGGTTTACTTGGATTAAAAAGCAGGTTCTATGAAAATCCCAATAGAAAACAAAAGCCTTTAAACAGTCATGCAGTATTTTTTCTACTAGTATTTAATAATAACACATCATCCACACAGATGGCAGTAACATTTAGTTCCCAGACAAAACACAAAGCACTAATATCATGGTTCATCAGTCTGACAAAATTCAAAATTCTTACTATACCATATACGGTTCCTTTCAGGCCCAAATTTCTATATTATTTTAAACCCAAGTCTGAATATTTATGCTAATTTAAGAAAACGGGTTCATTCTGTGTTTTCTTCATATTCTAAGCCACCTTATGTAGCCAGAGGAACAGTAACAAAAGCAGGTCCTAAGAACTTAATAAAAGAAGACTCAGAACTTCTGTGTTGCAATGATCTTTGACAGTGATCCAGTATACTATTTATACTACAAGTTTATTCTTCATTTAACGTTTTTTAAGTTTGTATAAGAGAAATAATAAGCATGTTACCTTAAGATCAACCACCATGGACTGAACTAGTAAGAAGATGACAGAGTTATCTTCCCAATTGATGTAAGTACTTGCTTTACACAGTTTGACACAGGCAATTGCAGCGCTTTCAGTCAGCTGCCTGCTTCCTCCGTGGCCGGCAAGTGCTTTTCGTAGACTGTCCAGAAACAACTTCTACAAAATTCAAATACAGCAATTAGATAATATGTGACGTTTCTTAGATTTCAGACTTACTTAATAAAGTAGGAAATTAGCCTCTAAAAATTATACTCTAGAAATATATAATTGATATATTGATATTTGTGGTTTTAAATTTCATAATTTAAGTAGCTGTCATCATTTAAATGTTTCTTGAATACAAAAAAAGGAACCTGTTCTTCCCTTTCTTTGTTGAATTATTAAAGGAACATGAGAAAACATCCTTCCCAAACAATGTAGTTGACTTCCCAACCCTGAATTTAGCTGATCAAATTCTCTTTTTTATATTATCTTTAATTTCTAAATATTATAGTTTCTTGGTTACTGTCTATCTCAAATTGTTCCATCTTTACCTAAAACTCCAGGCTATATTCAAGCTTCAGCCTTCTAACTAAGGATATATCTAAGGCTGTTCTAGTGCTCTAAATTCCATTCCTCATAGAAAGTTATGCATTCTTGTGATCCCAGCCCTCTCTACAGCTCATTAACAAATTTCTCCCTTTGGCCTCACTCCTCACTGAAAATAATACATCTATACTTACACACATTCTCAAATATAACACGCCAAAAGCTAAACTCACGCAACAACAGCAGAATATACATTCTTTTCAAACACACAAGCAACAATTTCCAGGATGTTAGGCCACAAGTCTTAATAAATTTAAAGAGATTAAAATAATATATATAATCTTTCTGATCACAATGAAATGAAACTAGAAATCAACAGCAGAAGGAAAACTGGAAAATTCACAAATGTGTAAAAATTAAACAACACTCTTGGTCAAAGAAAAAAAACACAAAGAAAATATCTTGAGACAAATCAAAGTAAAAATACAACATACCAAAAATTAAAGAAAACAGTGCTAAGTGGAAATTTTATAGCTGGAAACTCTTACATTAAAAAAGGAAGTTCTCAAATCAATATGAAATAGAGAATTAGAAAAACAGGGGAAAATCAACAAAATCAAAAGTTAGCTCTTTGCAAAGGTCAAGAAATTTACAAACCTTTAGCTAGATTAAGAAAAAAAGAAGACTCAAATTACTAAAAATCAGAATTAAAAATGAGGACATTACTGTTTTTACAGAAATAAAGATTATTACACTATGAAAAATTATATACCAACAAACAGGATAATCCAGACAAATGGGCAAATTCCTAGAAACACACTATCTACCAAAACTGACTCATTAAGAAACAGAAAATCTAAATAGAACTCTAACTAGCAAGGAGATTAAATCAGTAATAAAAAACCTCCCTACAAAGAAAAAGCCCAGGATCAGACGGCTTCACTGGTGAATACTCTATCAAGTATTTAAAGAAGAATTAACACCAGTCCTTCTCAAACACTTCCAGAAAATTAAAGGAGAAGGAAACACTTCCTAACTCATCCCCTAAGGCTAGCAATACTCTAATATGAAGACCAGACAAAAACACTGCAAGAAAACTATGGACAAATTTCCCTTAAGAATATCTATGAAGAATCCTCAACATGAATTAGCAAACCAAATCCAGCAGTATAGTAAAAAGATTATATGCTATGACCAAGTGGGATTTATTCCTAGAGGACATGAATGGTTCAAAAACGAAATCAATCAACATAATACATCACATAAATAAAATGAAGGGGAAAAAATCATCACCATTGATGCAGAAAAAGCATTTGGCAAAATTCAACACCCTCCCATGACAGAAACACTGAATAAGCTTTCTCAACATGATAAAAGCTATATATGAACAACCCATAGCGAACGTCATACTTAATGGTGAACAAAAAGCTATTGGTCTAATATTAGGAACAAGATATGGACGCCTGCTTCTGCCACTTCTATTAAACATACTAGTGGAAGTTCTACACAGAACAATTAGAAAAAGAAAAGGAAATGAGAAAAGAAAAAGAAATAAAAGTCATCCAAACTGGAAAGGAAGAAGTTATCTCTGTTCTCAGATGACATGATCTAAATGTAGAAAACCTTGAAGATAACACACAAACACACCAAAAGCCTGTTAGAGCTAATAAACAAATTCAGCAAAGTTGTAGGATACAAAATCAACACACAAAAGGCAAACTGCATTTCTATACACCAGCAATGAACAATTTAAAAAGGAAATTAAGAAAACAATTCCACTTATAAAAGCATCAAAAAGAATAAAATACTTAGGAATTAACCAAAGAGATGAAAGACTTGCACAATGAAAGCTATAAAACAGTGCTGAAAGAAATCAAAGAAGATATAAACGGAAGCACATCTCATGTTCAAGGACTGGAAACTTAACACTGTTAAGATGGCAATACTATCCAAAGCACTCTACAGATTCAATGCGGTCCTTATCAAAACCCCAACAGTGTTTTTTGCAGAAATAGAAAAACCCATCCAAAAATTCATATGGTTTTTCAAAGGAAGCCAAAAAGCCAAAGCAAACTTGAAAAAGAACAAAGTTGGAAGACTCAAACTTCCTGATTTCAAAACTTACTACAAAGCTACAGTAATCAAAACTCTGTGATACTGTTATAAAGGCAGACATACAGACCACTGGAATAGGACAGAAAGTACAGAAAGATATCCTCGAATATATGATCAAATTCAGTGGAGAAAGTACAGTTTTTTCCAACAAAGAGAGCTGGAAAAACTGGATGTCCACATGCAAAAGAATGAAGTCAAATCCTTCCCTTACTCTATATATAAAAATGAATTCAAAATGGATCAAAGATCTAAACAACTAAAGCTATAAAATCCTATAAGAGAATATACAAGACAATCTTTACAACACCGAATTTGGCAATGATTTCTTGATATGATACCAGAAAAAGCACAAGCAACAAAAAATAAACTGGATTTCATCAAAATTAAAAAACTTTTGTGTATCAAAGGACAGTATTGAGGTGAAATGACAATCCACGGAATGAAAGAAAATATTTGCAAATCATATATCTGAAAAGGGATTAATATCCACAATATTTAAAGAACCCCTACAACTCAACAACACAAAAACACTGTGAGTGTACTCAACACCACTGAACTGTACACTCAAAAACAGTCAAAAGGGTAAATTTGTTGCTACTTCACCACAACATAAATAAGTAAATAAAAATTTAAAAGCTAAACTCATATTTCCTCTGAACCAACTCCCACTTTGGACTTCCTTTTGATCAGTCTCAAACACTATTCTGCATATCTCACCTCTAACCCTAATCTTTAGACTTCTCCTAATTGCCTGAAGAATAAAGTTTAAACCCAAACTGGCTCACAACGTCTTCCAAATTATTCACATCTGCTCTTCATCTTCACTTCTTGTAACTGCCTGTGTGAACCTTTCACTCTCTAGCTAACTTTTCTGAACATACCTTCAACATTTTTATATCCATTTTCTTGATTACCCTGGCTTGAACAACACTCACTTTCTTTCTCTAATCTAAATTCCTTTCTTATTTCAGGTTCAACTAAGGTTCCACACCTCTTCCATAAAACTTTCCTAACTATCCAAGCTTCATTTGAATTCTTACAGCACATATGGCCTGTATTATTATCCTAGTAAACAGGTACTCTTGATAAATAACTTTTTAGCCATAAAGGAATAACGGGGACTTCCCTGGTGGCACAGTGGTTAAGAATCCGCCTGCCAATGCAGGGGACATGGATTTGAGCCCTGGTCCAGGAAGATCCCACATGCCGCGGAACAACTAAGCCCATGTGCCACAACTACTGAAGCCTGCACACCTAGAGCCCATGCTCCGCAACAAGAGAAGCCACTGCAATGAGAAGCTCGCACATCACAACAAAGAGTAGCCCCTGCTCACCGCAACTAGAGAAGGCCCACACACAGCAACAAAGACCCAATGCAGCCAAAAAAAAAAGCCAGGTTTTAAAGACCAATAGAATAGATAAACCCTAGAAAACATAAATGAGGAAACATGAGACATATTAGAAATGAGGAAAGAGTTATAAACATGGATATTGAGGAAAATAATTAGAGAATATATAAATATTATAAATAAACATTGTGTCTATATATTTCTATATTATAAATAAAATATGTAGATATAGATATACATAACTCCTTGCTGATAAAATTGAAAAATATATTTCCTAGCAAAGAATAAACCATCAAAAGTAACCTTAAAGGAGACAAAACTTCCTCAAAAAATTAAAAATAGAATTTACATACAATCCAACCATACCACTTCTGTGTATATATACAAAAGAATTGAAAGCAGCGTCTCAAAGAGATATCTGTATACCCATGTTCACAGCAGTATTATTTGTAATAGCTAAAAGGTGGAAGCAACCCAAAAGTCCAGGGACAAATGAAATTGGATAAACAAAATTAGTATATACATTCAATGGAATATTACTCAGCCTTAAAGAAAGGAAATTCTGACACATGTTACAAGGTGGATGAACCTTGAGGACACTATGCTAAGTGAAATAAGACAGCCACAAAAAGACAAACGCTCTATATTTCCACTTATATGAGGTATCTAGAGTAGTCAAATTCATTGAGACAGAAAGTAGAATGGTGGCTGTTAGGGGCTAGTGGGAGGGGACTATGGGGAGTTACTGTTTCATAACAAAATGAACAATGGTTCTTAAACTTTAGTGTGCACAACAATCACTCAGAGGGTTTGCTAAAAACAGGTTGCTAGCTGTATCCCACCCCTAGAGCTTCTGTTTCAGCAGACCTAGAGTGGGGATCTAACAATTTGCATTTCTAACAAGTTTCCAGGTGATGCTGATGCTGCTGCTCTTAAGACCACACTCTGAGAAGCACTGAACTAGATCTTGATCTCAATCTCCCTGTCTTATAAAAATTTTAAAAAGTAGACTAGAAGGATATATACCAACCCTTGACAGTGGCTGTTCCCAGGGAAAAAGGAAAGAAAATGGAATTAGTGGAATCAAAGGAGACTTGAGCTTTATCTGGAATTAAAGGAGAATTTATGCAACTATTATTTGTTCAATTTTTAAAATCATATGTA